CTGTGAATATACTTAAACTTAAAAAAAAAAAAAGACTCCATACCTTGTCTAAGTGAGGTCTGTTGTGACAGAGAGATGCAGGATATCTCAGGGAGGTCCTAATCTCATTCTTTCTCTGGTAATGGAGCTATAAACATCTGAGATTGCTAGCTAAGAGGATGTGAGTGTCCTTTATGGAGACAAATAGTATGATATGACCATTTGCCCAGCTGTCAGGAAAGGGCAAAATAAGATGGCTATTTGGATTTAGTGGGTGGGGTCATAAGAGATTTAGAATGCGTACCTTGATTTGACTAGAGAAAAGGTATACATGGGGATCCATTCCAAGTTTCATGATAGGTTAAACTTTAAACCTCCCATTTGGGGCAGGAAGGTTAAAGTTCTGGATGGCCTGTCAGAAGCGTGTAAGCAACGGTCCAGGGAGCAAATGGAGTGAAGTCTGTCTTGACCAGCCTCTGTTTTCAAAGTTCTTACAGGCTTGCATGGATTTCCAAGAAAAGAATGCAAAGATAACACCAGTGACTGTAAAACTTAATTAGCCTCTGTAATGCTTCCTTGTTTTATGTGTGTGTGTGTGTCTCTTTAAAAGTTTGGTTGCATGGCGGTGGTAAGTAGACTAGAGTGGTTGAGAGAAGCAAGCGGGGTATGATTGGTGGTTGACAGAGGGGGAGGGGTTTTGGAAGTGAGAATGAGTGGATATGTCTGTATGTCAGTCAGAGGTTACAGTTACAGGTTTGACAGTTGAGTTCAGTTCGGGGTGGGGAATGAGTTAGACAAGCAGTTAGTTCTGGGTATGAAGGAAGTTAGAAGCAGTCCTGTATGGAAAAAGTTAGTTCAGTGAGAAACAGAAGGAAGGCTGAGACCTCACAAAACACCAAGGCCGATTCCGCACTAATGCTTTGTCCCCCTTTCCCCCTGGGTCTAACTGGCCAGATTCTATGCGCGCTGTAGCTTCTTTGTGTTATGTGTGTGTGTGTGTCTCTTTAAAAGTTTGGTTGCATGGCGGTGGTAAGTAGACTAGAGTGGTTGAGAGAAGCAAGCGGGGTATGATTGGTGGTTGACAGAGGGGGAGGGGTTTTGGAAGTGAGAATGAGTGGATATGTCTGTATGTCAGTCAGAGGTTACAGTTACAGGTTTGACAGTTGAGTTCAGTTCGGGGTGGGGAATGAGTTAGACAAGCAGTTAGTTCTGGGTATGAAGGAAGTTAGAAGCAGTCCTGTATGGAAAAAGTTAGTTCAGTGAGAAACAGAAGGAAGGCTGAGAGAATAGGAAAAAGTAAATGAACGTTTAATTGAAGACAAGTTATAAGAAAGGCTGTATGTCCTGATAAACTGGAGAGAAACAGTGAAAATATATGACCTTAAGTTAAAGTGTTACAAAGTTACCTGAAAGATCCCTGTCAGTAAGGGAGCATATTGTGTGTGATACACCAAGCAATGGTTCATTTATTACACATTACTTGATACCTTGTTCTACCCTTTTATTTATGAATTATTTCAATAAATCCTCTTTTATTCAAATATACCAGCTCTGAAAGAAATACTTCCTCAGGACCACATAGTTCCTCATAAGCCTTGTACTCGGTCTACCTAACCAGCAAGAGCAGAAGTAAAAGTATAAAGGTTTGGAAAGCCTTAAATTTCCTGGTGGCAGCCATATATACATAGTAGAATAAAATAAAGAACACTTTTAAAGGGAAACCAGTCCTCCAGAATAAGGAGGTCATCACAGCCTCCTATGTTTTGCTTACTTTTGTTTACTTTGCTTAGTTCTTTAACACCCTGTAGTATTTTGATGTAGTTTCCCAATGTCCTTGTGCTCTAGTGATGTGAGAATGTATTTTGGTGCATAAAGATCTTTCCCTTTTAAGATCTCATACTGTGGTCAAATATCTCACCCAGGAGCCTGACCACTCATTCCATGCATAGATTGGAAACTCCTGATTGAGCTATCAGCATTTAGCTGGCATGGGGGGATGGGGGATGTGGGGCAGTACACAGATACATAGATTCACACACAGCCCCTCTCCATGCCTCAAGCCATCGATAGAAAAAGGAAGGGCACAACTTGAGTGATGGTATGCTATCCCATACAGCAGGAAGGGAGGGTAAGGCCACATAGGACAAGCCCACATTCTCTCCCAGTTTTCAGACAAAAGCAGCCGGCAGAAAGGGAAGAAGGGGAATGACTCTTTTACAAGGTCTGCATTAGGAACAATTCCGGCAAACTTGATATTGGATGCAAGTTAAATAGCCGGCATGAGGTTACATATTTGTCACCATGTAGTTTGGACTAGCAGAGCACCATTTTTACCATTAGTGGTTAGCCACCAGGGTTGCCGGGTCCCTTCGGCTTGCCAGCGGAGGGATTTGGGGGCCATTCCAGGGGTAGTGGGGATGTTGTGCAATGTGCCTGATGCAATGACCTCACATGGAAATGACATCATCACACTGGGGACATCTCACAGCCACGCTCTGCATTTTGGGCAAAGCTCTATGAGTTATTTGGCCTAAAGCCATAGAGTTTTGTCCAAAAAGCAGAGCGTCGCCATGTGACATCCTGATGTGATGATGTCACTTCCGCACAATGATGTCCCTGTTTGTGGGTGGGGCTTCCCCTTCTGGTGGTGAGCAGAAGCCTGAAAAATCGGGGGAAACCCCACTTGGACTAGGGGTCTGGCAACCCTATTAGCCACAGCTGGAACGGAAGTTGATGGATTTAGAAAGGTGTAACTCTGTTTAGGATGGCACCATACTACCTTCTCCCCACTCCCAATATTTTTTCCGTTGTCATTGGTATTTCTGAGTCAACATAAATGGATTGTATCATGTCATTGATATGTACTAAAAGACAGCGGTTTCATCGTCCTAAACTAGGTGGGAAATATCCATTTAAATAATAACAGGAAGACCAGAATGTTTGCTTTTCAATGACTACTGTTTGAGAGCCATTTGGTCCATTTTATTTGGCAAGGCATAAGCAAGACAAGGGGGGGGGAAGAAAGCTGCATTTTTGTAAGTTGGACATGAACATACAACAAAAGAATAAATAGAAAGTGCATTTTAAGGTTGTAATCCCACAAACATACCCTATGTTATTCTCAGAACCTTGTTTGCACATGAAACATCATTTAATACAATGCAGTTCTTTATGGTTTCAAGGGTTTGCATCAGTGTAATGTCTGTCTGAAGGATCATATCTGTTACCTTAGTAAAGATACAAGATGATAACCTATGATGGTTCTAATTCATTGGCTTTAATGCACACACAGGTGTTTCGATGTACATTTGGAACTCTGCATGAGCAGGGGTGTCCTATTCAGTTCAATGGTGCAGAGGTTTCTTTAAGTACAGCAGAAAATGTGCACGGAGCATTGCTCAGCATTGAAGTGAATGAGACAGTGCATGCTTGCGCTGAGCTCCAGACTTATCTAGTGTTTCAGTTCTTAAGCCTGATGTAATTTAACTAGTTTAACTGTGATATCCCCCCCCCAGCAAATCCAAGAACTGCGGTCTTTAGATCACTTCCCCCTATCCATACAATGCCTAGAGATACCCTCTGAAAATGACTGTCAAACCAGTTTAACTATGTAGTTTGGATACACCTCCCATTTACATATGATCCCAGTGGTTCAATGAAAGAAAGTGCTAGGGATAATATTTGAACCTATGACCTTCAATTATAACACTTTTTTGTGTATTAGAATATGTTACCCTTTCTACTTCATTTTGTTGTATACATTTATCCAGGTTCCCTTTATCTGAGAATCCTATGAATCTCATGTGTCTCCCACCCACCAAGCCCTTCATTAACAATAGTTCTGTCTGAATGGTAGCCTATAGGAGAGATCCAAAATGTCCCCCAAACCTTCAGATACATGTACATACACATAAAGCAGTCAAAGGTTTGCAGTAAATGGTTTGCATGGTAACAGTTCATTAAATGGTTTGGAAGCCTCACATTTCCCCCTACCTGCTGTCTGTTTGGAATAATTAGAATTGTATTGAAATTTGTGATATCCCTGTAGGACTGCTCTACATTTTTACTTTATGTATTACAGTTGTTGTCAATTTAAACAAATATTTAGGCTGCCATAGAGGAGTAATTCCAAAAGAGATATTTTGATACCAATTATTACTTCTTGTTCCTTATGGCTGATTCATGTTACTGTCTTAAAGAAGGAATTAGTGGAACCAATCCTCCATGGCTACTGCCACTCATTATCATGATTGTCAGCAGAGGACTGCCATCTTTCCGCAGCCAAGACAGCTGAGAATCAGTCCTGGCATTCGCATCCCTTTGTGAGGGGTGAGAATGCCTGGATCAATCTGTGCCACCGCCTTTCCTAGCTATCAGCGAAGACAACCTGCTGCCTTCTTTTGGCAATCAAGACACAAGGCCAATAAGGATTATTCTTGGCACCACCTTGCCTTGCCCAAAGGGGAACGTGGTTACAAGACCAATCCTCTGCTGCTGTCTCCTGTTTTGTCTGCTGCCTGGAAGAACACAATTTGTATCATCCAAAAGTCAAGATGAGATGCATAAGCAGCCTCAAGACACTGGTTCTATCTATCCCCTTACTGACTGTTGTCTATGAAGTGGCCCTTGGTCTTAAGATCTATTTGGGCATGTCATCCTAGCAGCTGCCCATGTACCAGGTTCAGTGCATACAGTTCAAAGGGTGGGAAATCTCTCTAGGAAAGGGATATATCTTTCTTACCTGTCCACCCTCCCCAGCAAAAGGAAGCCAATAATAAAGACTGCATGGTATCCATTGGCCTTGCAATTCACCCTGTCAACCTTGTGGACAATCAGTGAGAGCCAAAGCCCCCACTATCTGTAGACTATGAATAGAAGATGTGCAATGCAAGCATATCCAATCGTCAATAAGTAGTGTTGTGCGAACATGCCCTTGGATGCCATCTCAGCAATTATAAATAATAAAATGCCCTATTTGCTCACTACTGTATGCACTTGGCAACACAACATTATGGCTGTTTTCACTGGGGCTTTGTTTTAAATGTGACACCCCTGTACGCTTTGCTCCAGTCCTTTTGCTTCTTCTGCATCTTTGTCTGCAAGTGATCAGGCATCAGCCTCCAGCTCCTGGCTTCACGAGGTTTAGCATCCGCTGCTGCTGCTTCAGCAGGCTGCCCATCATGGTGTATAGTCTGTAGTTTCTCAAGGAGCCAGTTTTGCCTGTCCGCAGAATGAAGGTGCTCCCCCAAATCATGCATAATCTGCACTTCACTCACAGACCTCTTCCTGTAATGAAAATAATTGTTGGGGTGGAATTAAAGCCTTTAATTCTCTGTCTTTGTGTAAGCCTACATGAAGCAAAACATGTTTTCACTGAATAGCAAGATGAAATCTGTTCAACCTGTCCCCTGTATTGTTAACGGACCACAGGCAGATTTTGTACAGTTATGCTAGGGATTTGTATTCCACGTACAGAGTCTTTCATTTATCATTGCAGGATGACTACGATAGTGATAAAAGGATAATCTAAATCAGCAATCCCCACCATGACACCCCTGGAACTGTGGTGCCTGCTGGTTAGTTTCCTGGTACTCATTGCAACTTGGGAAGCCTCAGATTGGTTGCGGTCACACGCGCAAGATAAAGCGGTGGGGGGAGCGAGGCTATTCCCTCCAGAGGAAATTGACCCACAGGGGCAGCCCACCACTGTGTGATCAGACGCAACCGCAGGTGAATCAGGGTGTTGGGGTTTTTTGCCGTGTGTTTCCGGTGTGCTTTCACAGGGGATCGATAAGTCACATCCCCGCACTGAGTGCTCCCTATGCAGTTTGCGATGATGCGCATACTGAAATGGGGGGGAACAATGGCATGGAGTCGGGATGGCCCAATCAGACCATCCCCATGCCATTAGAGCGCGCTGGCACGATCACACAAGGGGAAGTCTGTTCCTGGCCCGTAGCAAACCCATTTGCTACTGGACTTTCCCTAGTGTTTTTTTACTCCGCTTCTGTGGCGGAGCAAAACAGGTTGGCGTCAGGTGCAGGATGCTTCCCAGGGGTTTGCGTCTGATTGCGCCCTTAAAATCCACCCAGCATTCGCGCCTATGGCATGGCTAGTTCTGCGTGTGATTGCGCCCATTGTCCCCTACCTGCTGACTGACCAAAAAGTGCTGAGCTCATCCTTGCCAGGTAGGTCACAGCCGTATGTCCTTGCCTTGGCAGAATTTCTTATGTCTCCATGCTTAGCTTTGCTATGTCTGTGCAGGAAGCAAACCCTCCTCTTTCCTTGGAAACTAAAATTAACTAGTTCTCAAAGCCCCAAAGGCTTCACCTTTTGCATCTGAAGGGAGTACTCATCCAGAAGCAGCTGCCTCCACTGCAGGAGGACATGTGACTTGAAACCTTTCAAAATTTGTGATTGGGCTCCTGGAGCAGGGCAGCCATTTCATGATGGCTCTCATTACCCTTGTTCAAAATTCCAAAATGCCTACAGTTCAACAAGATCAGGCGATCTCTGATCTAAATGTTCCGCCATGAGTACATATCCCAAATTTGGTGGCACTGCGACAACTTCAAAAAATAATGTGGAATTTCACATCAAACTGAAGCTTGGGCTTGTGATGCTGTACTTGCCATGAGCGAATTCAGTACAAGTTGCTCAAAGGAAAATACTGGTGTTCCAGACTGCATTTATATTGCGTATGGTCAGAGGCATTTTGGGAGGCCAGATGAAACAGAGGGCAAAACTCCTATCTTTTTAGTGTTTGTGCAGAAGAATGGATTTGTATCAGAAAACTTGCATTTGCAAACACTTCTGTCCTATATAATATTAAGGTGTAGGAGCCTTGTATTCTGTTTTCTCTGGCCACCCTAGCATACTTTCAGGTTTATCACTAGATTCATAACAGAAATGACTGTACATTGTGCAAGAACTATGAATGGCTGACAGGTACTACATAGCCATTGCTGCAGCTGCTTCAACATCCAACATGCAGCAAGCCCCCCTCCTAACCCACATGAGCTATAAACATTATTCTCCAACATTTAAATCTAGCATTGACTTGATTTTTATCAAGTATGCATCATGTGCATGATGGGTGGGTGCATTTGGAGATATTTTAGTCCACTGCCAGAATCTAAGGTTACATCTCTGGGGCTTTGTGCTCTTCAGATATTACAGAGGTGGAATGCACCAGAGAAGCCTAAAGCCACAAAAGAGAAATCAACAAAACAAAATGTGTGTGTAAAGTCCTGTCAAGTTGCACTCGAGTTACGTGACCCCAGCAAGGGGCTTTCAAGGCAAGTGAGAAGCAGAGGTGGTTCGCCATTGCCTTCCTTTGCGGAGTCTTCCTTGGTAGTCTCCATTTCAAGTACTGATCCTGCTTAGCTTGCAAAGTCTAATGAGATTGGGCTATACCATACTTCCTTCTCTCCCAGAACAAAAAATCCTGATTAGTATTATTTCATACACAGCATCCCCTTATTCCTGAACTTCTGGTTATTTAAATTATGCATGTTTACTCTGAAGAAAGTCTTACTGCATTTTAATGAGATTTCAAGAGAAGTAACCATCTTCACTGGATTGTCTTGAAAAGACATTTGAATAAATTCTTCATCCATGATTCTTGCGCTTAAGGTCAAAAATTAGAAAAATAACCCAACAATAGAGATTCATATCTCTATGAATTTAATGGAAGCTTTAATGCTTCCAGATAGATAGATAGATAGATAGATAGATAGATAGATAGATACATACATACATACATACATACATACATACATACATACATGTTCTCCACTTACATCATGGCTTTTCCATCAGAATTGGTGAACAAGCAGACTGCCCATAAAATGATTGCTGTTCTAGCCATGTCTCTGGTTGAAGTCATGCTAACTGAAAGAGTGGAAAGAAACTAGTTATTCTGTGTAGTCTTGGTTGTAATGGGTTAGATAAAGGAAAGCTTTTAATGATATAAGTATCAAAATAAATAAAGAACAGGTAATTAGGCTATATATTTTTGTTTGTGTGCACTGAATGAGACAGGAACTGATAAGTCAAATTATTTTTCTGTTATACCTTGACCAAATCGTTTAACATCTACCTCATCTTCCATTTTAACATAAGGATAACAGTTCATAGCCTTGATGTGATAGCATAAATACACTTTGTCTGATACAAGCGGCAAGCTTAGGACATGGTTTATTCAGCATAAATGTTTCTAGTGATGTTCTGTATACTGTGTGTTTCCTATTCCTTATTCCTGCACAGAAAATGGTTCAGCATCCAAATACAGTAATATTCTTCCACAGCTCCAACCAATTTATTATTTTATATTTCATAATCACCATTCAGTCATATTAGGTTATATGTATACATTAGGAGCTGCGGTGGCTCAAGTGGTTAAGACGCTGAACTGCAGGCTGTGGAAGGTTGGTAGTTCAGCAATCCGAGACCCGGGTGCCGCATGATGGAGTGAGCTCCCATCTCTAGTTCCAGCTCCTGCCAACCTAGCAGTTCGAAAGCAAGAAATTGCAAGTAGATAAATAGGGACCACTTCGATGGGAAGATAACAGCGTTCCGTGCGCCTCGGCGTCTAGTCATGCCATCCACATGACCACGGAAACGTCTTCGGACAGCGCTAGCTCTTCGGCTTTGAAACGGAGATGAGCACCGCAACCCTAGAGTCGGATTCGACTGGCTTTTGAGCAAGGGAACCTTTACCTTTACTTTAAGTATACATTAAGTTTGTTTTAGTCCTCTTGTGATGGATCTTGAAAAGCAGCAAACATGAGAGGGAGGGCAGGAAGGGTTGCATCAGAGCTTAGTTCTTGTAGCCCTTTCTTACACGCCCAGGGAAATGCTGATTGCCACTTTCGGGTTAGGAAGCATTTTTTCTCCAGGCCAGTTTAGCTGGAGATCCTGGAGGGTTTTTGTCATCTTCTGGGCATGGAATAGCAGTCACTGGGGGTGGGTGGGGGAGGTATTTGTGAATTTCTTGCCTTTGGAGTCCCTTCCAACTCTATGATTCTATGACAACTGTGATGATATATTGTCACCCTACTGACTTGTAATTAAGTCATTCATAATGGGACATACATGAAGATGCTTAAGAATACAGCTGACCCGGTGAACCAAAGCAAAGATCTATCTAATTCAGTGTTCTGTGTCCAATAATGCCAAGGCAGATGCCTCTGGGAAGTCCACAAGTAAGCCATAGAGGCAGTAGCCCTTCCTCTGTTGTTTTTCCCTGGTATCTGGTATTCAGATGTAAACAACCATTGAACGTGGACTTTCTGTTTAGTTTTCACACCTTTTCTCCAGAAACTTGGCTAAATTTTTAAAGCCCTCTAAGCTAGTGGCTATCACCAGATCTTGCAGTTGTAAAGTCAGTTCTGTCCCTGTATTGCTTCCTTTTATCCCCTGATTTCCACACACATTTTTATGCCTTTAGTTTTCACTTTGGGTTTTTGGGGTCGTTTCCCCCCCCCCCCCAGGCTTTTTCCAGTTTTTTTAAGACCACTTTTAACCCAATGTTTTTCTGGAAGCCAACTGTGAGTTGGCTTTTTCCTCATGTGTAATATTGTTTCTAAAAGGAGCTGCGGTGGCTCAAGTGGTTAAGATGCTGAACTGCAGGCTGTGGAAGGTCAGTAGTTCAGCAGTTCAAGACCCGGGTGCCGCAAGACGGAATGAGCTCCCGTCTCTAGTTCCAGCTCCTGCCAACCTAGCAGTTCGAAAGCAAGAAATTGCAAGTAGATAAATAGGTACCACTTCGGTGGGAAGGTAACAGCGTTCCGTGCGCCTTGGTGTTTAGTCATGCCGGCCACATGACCACGGAAACGTCTTCGGACAGCGCTGGCTCTTCGGCTTTGAAACGGAGATGAGCACCGCAACCCTAAAGTTGGATTCGACTGGCTTTCGAGCAAGGGAACCCTTACCTTAATATTGTTTCTCAGTTTTCTTCGGCCCGCCCACTCCCACCTACTTCCAGCCCCATTTGATGATTGTGTTGTATGAAAAAAATACTTGTTGCCTGGTTATTTTTTTGGTCTGTCCTGAACATATTACCAGTATTTTTTCGGCTAAGGCTACATAAGGTCTAATGGACACAAGAATAGTAATGTCTTGAGAATATGGGCTGAGTGAATCTGTGCAGAGCTCAATTAACAATGAAACTTCATCACCAGTACAGCTTGCAACCTAGCCTATATTTACCATACAACTGCTCTTCAACAGATTTGTGGGTATCTGATATGTGTGGGTTGAAGGAAGACGTCCCATTCTAGGAATGAATGAATGTCAGATGGGAGAGCCACACACTGTATATTGAATTCTGCATAGATCCACTCAGACTATGTTATGCCTACCTACCACGAGGTTTGTTTGTTTATTTGTTTTTGCTGTCATGTCACAACTGACTTATGGGGACGTCATGGGACTTTCAAGGCAAGAGACATTCAGAGGTGGTTTGCCATCACCTGCCTCGGTGTCATGTCCCTGATATTCCTTGGTGGTCTCCCTTCCTAGGCTGCCCTGCTTAGCTTCTGAGATCTGTCAAGATTGGGCTAGCCTGAGCTATCCAAGTCAGGTTACTTTTGATCTTAGGTAAAGGTAAAGGTTTCCTTGCTCGAAAGCCAGTCGAATCCGACTCTATGGGTGCGGTGCTCATCTCCGTTTCAAAGCCGAAGAGCCAGCACTGTCCGAAGCCGTTTCCGTGGTCATGTGGCCGGCATGACTAAACACCAAGGCGCACGGAGCGCTGTTACCTTCCCACCGAAGTGGTACCTATTTATCTACTTGCAATTTCTTGCTTTCGAATTGCTAGGTTGGCAGGAGCTGGAACTAGTGACGGGAGCTCACTCCGTCATGCGGCACCCGGGTCTCGAACTGCCGAACTACTGACCTTTCACAGCCTGCAGTTCAGCGTCTTAACCACTTGAGCCACCGCAGCTCCCCAGACTTTTGATCTTAGAATACTGTTAATACAAAGTTTTAAAACTGGCTAACTTTTCATCTGTAAATCAGCTTTGAAATCATTGACTGAAAAAATATGGACACGACCCAGCCAAAGTCACATGAAAGACCCATTGATTTTAACAGTAGAGAACTTAATGTTTGCTTGACTCTTTCAGTGAAATCAATGGGATATAAAAGTTATTATTTTTGGCTAGATTGTGCCTCGTATTATTAGGTTATCCTTTTCTTGTATGGCATGGCAAACTAAAGGCCCCGTTCTAGCCTTATTCCGGTTTGTTCACATAGAGATTCGTTATGGCATTAGTAAAATCCAGTCAATCCTTTCTTTCCTTCCCTCCCCCTCCAACTGCTAACACCATAACTATAGGGAAATTAGTTTTATTTTGCTTTGCTCAGTAATATTGCTTTGCAATGCTCAGTACAGTTATTGGCACAGAAAGTCCAGTTTTGAAATAACTCTGCCAACAGAAGCCCATTGCTGTCATTGAAAGTTTCACTGACAGAGCAGTTTGAATGTTTCCACAATGATCAATGTTATTGCTGGTGATGCAGCAGAAAGCAAAACAATCTCAATTTTGATCCCAACTATAATTTTTTGTATCATAAGCCCAAGAACTGCCCAGTCTTTAGTTAAAAGTGTTCAGCATGTTTTAACGTGGAGTGGCATTGCTGAATAAAACACTAGTATTTTAAACAAAACCTGTGCTATGCATTATTTTCACAGTTGCAGCATAAAAAACTGCCTTTAAGATGCTTTACATTCTTATATGAACATCGTCCAAACACAGTTTCATATGCCCAATTTTTGTTCCATTAGACAATTGAGTTCATCACCCCAGTGAAATGTTTAGTCATTTCCCAGCCGGCTTTAAAGAACTCACCAGCTAACGAACAATTTAGACTCTGGCACATGTTTGTTTTCAAGCAGTTTGTTATAACTACTACAATCCAATATTGCATAAAGCAGGCATTTATAAAAGTCACTTTCTGAAATAAAATAGAAGGTTCTTACCAAAGAGTTTCTCAAGCAGGTTCTTGCTTCTGATATGCCAGCAGCCAGCAGATGTTGATTTAAAGTCTGTTTAATTGGTCTAGAGGTCTCTTTAAATGTAACTTTAAAATAGAACTTCTAAGTAACTAAGGAGCCCTTTTATTGTCTCAGTTGATGTCACTCCCAAACACACCCCCTGACCCTCATGTACCACCCATCTTGTGCTTTTGTTAATGGGGCATTGAAAAATAGAGAAAGAAAAGGAAGGTTTAGGATCAAATACAGTATCCTGGGTAACTTCAAAGGAGTTTGACTTTTGAGGAATCTGAGTTGAGGGTTGAAGAAAAATGCACATAAAGAAATTGTGTCATTGGGTTAATTAATTAATTATGAGCTTTAAATGTTAATGAGTCCATAGATGACTAAAAAGTCACATTTACAACTGGATTACAATCAGCTAATAAAATAAATGTCATGCTATAGTAATCTTGTACCCAACTTCATTAAATCCAGCCTACTTAAAATGGGTATCACAAATTAAGAAAAATCCTCTAAATATCTCACTGATCATTTTAATATATATATACTTTTAAAAATGTTTTGTGCACATCACAGTACAGAGAACACTGCTGCAGTTTGACCAGTTACCCAGCTGGTGACCCATAATCAGCCATATGGAAGTAGAAGGCATAAAATCAAACAATTTTTCCTATATTAGAGAAAACAGGCTGTTTAAACTTTATATTCCCTTTCAGGAAAAAATAAATGGCGGAATAGCATTGTTAACAACTGTATCTTTGTTTTAAGCAAGTGTGTGTGTGTGTGTGTTTCTGGGGGAAATGGAGTGTTATTTGTTGTTGTTCAGTCGCACAGTCGAGTCCGACTCTTCGTGACCCCATGGACCAGATGACACCAGGCCAGCC